GGAGGAGCCCTGCGTCAGTGTGAGGGCCGTGCGTCAGTGTGAGGGCCCTGCGTCAGTGTGAGGACCGTGCGTCTGTGTGAGGACCCGTGCGTCAGTGTGAGGACCCGTGCGTCAGTGTGAGGACCCTGCGTCAGTGTGAGGGCCGTGCGTCAGTGTGAGGACCGTGCGTCTGTGTGAGGACCCGTGCGTCAGTGTGAGGGGCCCTGCGTCAGTGTGAGGACCCGTGCGTCAGTGTGAGGGGCCCTGCGTCAGTGTGAGGACCCGTGCGTCAGTGTGAGGACCCGTGCGTCAGTGTGAGGGCCGTGCGTCAGTGTGAGGGGCCGTACGTCAGTGTGAGGACACCTGCGTCAGTGTGAGGGGCCCTGCGTCAGTGTGAGGGGCCCTGCGTCAGTGTGAGGACCCGTGCGTCAGTGTGAGGGCCGTGCGTCAGTGTGAGGGGCCGTGCGTCAGTGTGAGGACACCTGCGTCAGTGTGAGGGCCCTGCGTCAGTGTGAGGACCCTGCGTCAGTGTGAGGGCCGTGCGTCAGTGTGAGGACCCGTGCGTCAGTGTGAGGGCCGTGCGTCAGTGTGAGGGGCCGTACGTCAGTGTGAGGGGCCGTGCGTCAGTGTGAGGACCCGTGCGTCAGTGTGAGGGGCCGTGCGTTAGTGTGAGGACCCGTGCGTCAGTGTGAGGGGCCGTGCGTTAGTGTGAGGGGCCCTGCGTCAGTGTGAGGATCCGTGCGTCAGTGTGAGGGGCCCTGCGTCAGTGTGAGAGCCCTGCGTCAGTGTGAGGGGCCGTGCGTCAGTGTGAGGGCCCTGCGTCAGTGTGAGGGCCGTGCGTCAGTGTGAGGGGCCCTGTGTCAGTGTGAGGGGCCCTGCGTCAGTGTGAGGGCCATGCGTCAGTGTGAGGACCCGTGCGTCAGTGTGAGGAGCCCTGCGTCAGTGTGAGGGGCCCTGCGTCTGTGTGAGGGGCCCTGCGTCAGTGTGAGGGCCGTGCGTCAGTGTGAGGATCCGTGCGTCAGTGTGAGGAGCCCTGCGTCAGTGTGAGGACCCGTGCGTCAGTGTGAGGGGCCCTGTGTCAGTGTGAGGGGCCCTGCGTCAGTGTGAGGGCC